GATGGGTAGTTTTAACACACTCCCTTGTGTTTTAGTTGGTCTAGTAATTGTGAGACACTCCCTGGAGTAAGCTAGTGCGTGAGCTCGCAGGTGGCTGACCCGTGAGCGAACTGCTGACTCACCGTTCAAGTTCAGTTAAACACATTGCTTGTGTTGGAGATATTTTTATATAAACGAACCTTAAATTACGATATGGTGTCAGAAGCGGTCCTGCTGCAGTAAACACGGGTCGGGAAAGGAATTGCAGCAAACTGAACAAAGGGAAGAAAACTCCGGTGAAACTGGAGAAGTTCCAGCCGCCCCCAGTCTGCAGTCCTCAGGTAATACTGCTGGAAACTGGAATCGATTTAAACAGCGATTCGAAGTGTATTCATCGGCAGTTGTTGCGGATGAAAGAAGCGATGAAACCAAAGTTTCCATTTTATTACATATAATCGGGGAGGAAGCGCTGGAGGTTTTGAACGGCTTTCAGTCTGAAGCCCGAGAACACGTGAAGTAAGAAGTTATACTGGATACGTGTGAAAATACAGCCTTCCGAAACGATACATGACTTATGAGAGACACAGATTCTTCACTTGTGCACAGAAACCAGGTGAAGCGATTGATCGATATCTGAGTAGCGAATACGGAGTAAAACGTGAGTGTGGAGAGTTCACAGAACCTGTAATAAAAGATCATGCACTCAGGGGAAGGTTGCTAAGAGAGCAAGATTTGGATGTGGAAAAAGCCGTCCGAATATGCGGGCAGCCGAAACCGTAAAAGCGATGTGCAGGAAGAAAACTGTACGCGTGGTGACCAAAAAAGAAAACAAAAAGCATGTAATTACTGAGATAAATAAAAAACGGTAATGAACAAATGCATGTGGACGTAGTGGTCTCTCCTAGACACACAAATCATGTATGTGAAGATACTGTAATCATTTTGTTATGATTTAGTTTTATTAGCCTTTAAAGTTATCAGTCTTGATTACAATTTTGATCTTAAAATTATTTGAGTATAACATTGATTAATGTATAACCATATTACTACATATTCAAAAGCATTATTTAGGCAAAAAAACAGTCAAACCAAAATTCACAGGTTTAATTACTGGGTGATCAGAATCTTGACAGGAGTCTCAGAGCAACATCCTGCACAGCTTCTCTCCTGGAAGTGTCCTGTGAGTCTATGAGTTCTCCTCCTTCTCCTTTCCTGAACACACAGGGGATACAGCACCTCAACACCATCAAAGACAGACCACTAACATGACCAGTGGGAGGTCCTGTGCAGTAAATACAGTTGTCAGCTGATTGCTAACTACAGAAATGTCATTGCCAGACACAGAAAACCATTATACATTTTGCAAAAACATTGTACTTTAAAAATGCAGTGTAAGGGACATTGTAAAAGTGATTCACTGGTGGTTAAGGGGGAACGCCCTAGCCGAAGACAGGCGGCATTAAGGCCTGGACAACAGGACAGAGAAGGTGAGGCCACGTCAGGATGGTGCATGCTGGCATATGGCTGCAGGAGTTACAGGAGGCTCCTCAGGCCTGCAAGACGATGCTCTCTAGTGCTGTCAGGACACAGGGCAGCCCAGACTTAACCAAAGGAACTTTGAGTTGAATTACTGATTGTCAGTGGCAGTACGTACAGCTCTTGACAGAGACCAGGTGCTGGAGGCCTGGGGCCACAACCAGAAGGAGGACATGATCTGCTCCCTGGCGAGTGGGTTTGGGTCACCTTGCAGCCCCGTTGGGAAGGAACGTTCCAGGTGCTGCTGATCACTGGATCGGCAGTCAGGCTGGAGGGGAAAGACCGCTGGATCCACGTCACTCACTGTCAGAGAGCTTCTCCAAGAGAAGCAGATTTGACCAGCTAAAGATGTTGTATTCTGCCATTTTGCTGTTTGATGTAAGAGAAGCGGGTCCAACAGGGGACCAGGAACAACATAGGGTTTCAGCGAGAAAAGCTGTTTCTATCAGTAAGGAATAATCAGAGCTCGTGCTGGGTATGTATTGCCAAACCACGTCACACGTTACAAGGAGGGCTGCCCTTGGGAGTCATTCCTTTTAATATGAATGACAATCTAGGTATACTAGATTGGACAAATGGAAGTACTCTGAACATATACAGTGGTGTGAAAAAGTGTTTGCCCCCTTCCTGATTTCTTATTTTTTTGCATGTTTGTCACACTGAAATGTTTCAGATCATCAAACAAATTGAAATATTAGAAATTGAATTCCGCTTTCCAAAGATGTGATAAACCACAGTTGATTTATGTTTTAACAGGGGGGGCAATCACTTTTTCACACAGGGCCATGTAGGTTTGGATTTTTTTCCTCTTAATAATAAAAACCTTCATTTAAAAACTGCATTTTGTGTTTACTTGTGTTATCTTTGTCTAATATTTCAATTTGTAACTTAACGCAGCCATATAGAGAAATAGCTAAAGGGCAGGGATGGCATCCCACAAATTTTGAGGGTTGGTATTTTAGGGTTTTGGGCTTTCATATGAAGAACAGAGCTTTCACTGGCCGATTATCACACTTGATTGGAAACGAAAATATAGAAAAGACGAGAGGAAAAAAAGAGAAAAGGATACCGCACTTCCCTCTGAGACAGAAATCAAATAGAACTTCTCACACTAAACAAACCGCCACAGGAAAAATAAACCCAATAAAAACAAAAAAATACACAATACAGAATAAGCTGATGTAACCCTGACTAAGGGGAGCAGGGTATTAGACTGGCTGTAACTGCTCACAGACGCAGGGCTGCCTACAAACTACAACTCCCATAAACACCCTGACCCACTTCCTGTCATCTGCGTCACAGTCCCTATTCCTCCTGCTGTGGTGACGTCAGCGGGTCCCTCCCTGGTCTGGCAGCTTCACAGTCACCGGCGCACAGGAGACACTCACACGGGATTTCTTTTTTAAAAGTTTTTCTTAAAATTAGAAAAAAAAACACGGGAGGGTTTCCAGAGATATTTACAGGTCAGGAGTACAGCAGGCTGGTGGCGAGTTATCTATCTCTCCCTCTCTTGTACATGTTGCTTTCCCCTGTTTAAAACCTTTACTGTAAACAACATCGTCATCATCTAAAATTACTATTATATTTATTACATCATCTTACTACCTTTCAGTAAACCCGTCTCCCAATATGAGCAGTAGGTCAGAGAGCTGGGAGAGAGTCAGCCTGTGTTCATGAGTCAGTGACGGGATTAATCTCCAAACTGACAGCAGGCAGCAGCTCAAGGTCTTTATCTGAATCCTCCGTACAGAAGACAGGATAGATCTTCTCCCCCTGAGCGAAGACCATGTCAGTGAAAGTGTAGAGATGAGCTCTGGACTCCACTGTGTAAAAGGAGACCTTCCTCTCCTCAATATCCACACACACCCCCAGCTTCCTGGGCCACAGACTGAGGGGGAGAGGGATCACAGGGGCAGTGAGAGCAGAGAAAACAGACAGGTAAGAGTCCAGACACCAGTAACCCTGCTGGGGAGAGGAGCTGATCCATCCTTTCCTCTCTGCTGACTCTCTGGTCACTCCTATTCTCCAGTATCGATTCACCTCAACCTCCCAGTAGTGTCTCCTTGAGGTGAAGGCCTCCCTGCTCACAACACAGGGATAGAGATCAAATCTGTGAGGATTGTCAGAGAGACTCTTCCTCTGTCCCCATCTCACTCTCTTCCCATCCTCAGACAGGCTGAGCTCACAGTGAGCTGTATCTGGGTCCAGAGTCACAACAGCTGGGGAATTAAACAGAAAACATCACAACAGGCTCCAATTACATTCCAAATCAACTCCATTATACTGTGAAATGTCTTTGTCCCCAAACACACCAAGAGAGAAAAACAAGTAAGTTACTTATTACTTCTCTTCCCTTCCAGAGAAACGATATATTCTGTCATTGTTTCACTAAGTATTACACATGCAAGTGATCCCTAATATCCTCTAAATACATACATTAAACATTTGTTTTCACAGCGATGAAGCTTTATTTTTTTTAAACAACATTATTAATAAACACAGGACCGACCGGACTGCAGGAATAACTACAGCCAGACCACTCGCTTTCAAACACTTCACAACCCACCACAACGACCTGTATACTGTAAGAAACTGGACAGCCTGTCTGTTAAACCGGTTTATTTCAAATCCCAGTTCAGCAGCTCGTTCATCTTCTCTAAGACCATTTTCCTGATGAGGCAGAATAAAAAAGTGCTGAATTCAAAGACTGCATAATGCTTATTTGTTACAGAAAAAAATATAATGGAAAAAGCAAAACCTTGTTGAAATAAAGGACTTCATACTTTGAAAATGTGAAAAAAAATCCAAAGTATTCAAATTAAACTAGAAATAACAAGAATATTAATCTCTGATAGGAGACAGTAGAAGCAGTATTAACTCTTAATTCTTAATATTTAATACTGAATAAATACTCTCCCTTTGTCTGCCTGTCAATATTAGTGAAAATCAAAGGGATTCCTCTCAGGTCTTATTTCTTTTCTTTACTCCTGGAGTCTAGAAAGGCTGACACAGCTACCTACATGAATTTATAAAACCACCACATTCATTTCTGGACTCAGAGCACCTGTATTTCAGTGATGAGAGAGGGCGCCCTCTGCTGGACACTGCAGCTCTGAAGCCAACATCTTCCACTGATATTTGACACTTATTCTGTGTAGAACAGGACAAAGTGTCAAACACTGACTTATTCACAGGAGAGTCTATCAGTCTGGAAACACAGACAACATCTAGATCACTCCTGTCCTGAAATGAGGTCCCCAATATCACAGGCAAACACCCCAATACACACTCACTCTGGTGGGACTAATGAAATAATATTGATACTCCAGTGTCATTCTTAGTGAAACACACCACTGGGTTATTACCCCTGGCCAGTAAAAGGAGCCCTACAGTCCCAGTAAATACCCCTCTTAATCTAACCATAAGCACCTGACTCTGACATGTCAGAGCTGAGGAAAACAGGCCACAGAGACACTGACTGAAATCATTTAATTGAAATACTGTCAGTAAAGAGAGATCAGAATTAATTACCCCCTGTCCTGAGAGGAGGGCAATTCTCAGCTCAATACTCTACCGCCCCTTCCATTCACAGTGCTGGCATGAGTAACTGAAATTTACAGAAGCTTTTTTGTGTCACAGAGTGAAAGTATTTATTGTGGTTAGATGAGATAGTATTGTGTTTGAATGCAGTAGTTAATTTGTGAACAATCCTGCCTACTGTTTGAATATCTGGTATTATATATGCAATAATATTGTCCTGTGTAAAGCAGCATTGACTTTAACAACAGAAGAATATCATCACACTCCTCTTTCTGGAAAAACAATAATCTAAAGGAGCACATGTCCTGTCCTGTACACATGAAGTACAGAAAGCTGTCTGTGAGTGTTCCAGGGTTAAACGTGTGTCGTTTTTACCATTTCTGTGACAAAGAGAATTGACACAGATTTCCAAATGTCTGTTACTCTTGATGTGAAACTGCAAAAACATGTCCTGTACAGGGTGTTTGCTCACTCTTTAAACACTGAATGGAATACATTTATGATGACTTATACCTCCTGTTGGCTTCCTGTCACTCTTACTGTCGGTCCCAGTAAACAGCAAGCCAGCAATGGACAAACTGTGTAACAGGCTGTGTGGGGGATAAATACCCCCAACACCCCAATCTTACCAGTACTAAGACACCTGATGGGCAAGAGTCTCAGACTCTTGAAACAGTCTACTAGTCTCTTACTGACTGGACCTGAGAGCTCTGTCAGGACACACAGATATGCCCCCTGTTCTGGGAAGAGTCCCTCATTTCCAAATAAATACCTCCTGACTGAGAGGCTATAGGCATCTGCCCCAGACAGGTAACCAGACAGGTGTAGTGGCACCAAACGATGAACCTTAAATTACAGCTCTCAGTAAACACATCACATTAAAATGTGCACATCCGAGTGCCCTGTAATTAATTCTGGCAGAGGGAACCCCTCCAGGCTCCCAGATTTCCTGCTGGTCCCCTTCAGTAGAAGCCTGCAGAGTCCACTGTTCAGACTTTCACTCTTCAGATGAACTCTTCCTCCTTCAGTCAAACTCAGGCAGTCCAGAACAGGAGAATTCCTCTCAGCTACTCCATTTCTCTCTAATACAGTAATCACAAACAGAAACACCCTTTACACCAAGTTTTCCAACTTCACCTAAATCAGTACCAGTCACCTTCAATAACGAGACAGTGGAGCAGAAACACCAGAATATTCTACCACAATGAATCCAAGCGTAAATCACTGTAAGTCGTTCACTCTCACAACAAATTAAGAAGATACCCTCTCTCCTACTATAGAAGGACACATGATTTTGCTGAGAGGTGTCCTTTGCTCTGATTTTCCAGACAGATTAAGTCCTGAATGTTTCTTCCTGCTGACCCATCAGACTGGTTGATATGTGAAGAGAAGAAGCCATTTCTCAGACAAGAGAGAGGCCTACAGAAAATTCCCACCATGGAACTTTGAATGATCTTCATAGCTCACTGAGATTTCACGTAGGATGTTACAGAAACATGAGATTGAAATACATCTCCTGTTTACACACCAGGAATAACCATCTCACTCTAAATAGACTTTCTAAATAGACTCAAGACCTCAATAACCCCAGACACTAGGGCTTAAAACAGCATCTCTGTCATCAAGAAGAGACAGACCTACCTGCAGCACTGCACAGCCACTGCCACTCTGAAACACAGAAATACAGACACTGTTTATCACAGACACACAATGGAGCACAGAGATACAGACACTGTTAATCACAGACACACACTGGAACACAGAGATACAGACACTGTTAATCACAGACACACACTGGAACACAGAGATACAGACACTGTTAATCACAGACACACACTGGAACACAGGGATACAGACACTGTTAATCACAGACACACACTGAAACACAGGGATACAGACATTGTTGATCACAGACACACACTGGAACATAGAGTTACAGACATTGTTAATCACAGTCACACACTGGAACAAAGAGATACAGACACGGTTAATCACACTTTCACACTGGAACGCAGAGATACAGACACTGTGAATCACAGTCAAACACTGGAACAGAGAGATACAGACACAGTTAATCACAGTCACACACTG